ATAGGTTTTATCAAAAAGATCTAGAAAAGGTTTGCTGGCAGGAGTTCTTCTAAGGCTGTATATGGGCCTGTTCCAAGGTAATTTACAATTTTCCTGCACATGTTCAGGTTCATACCATGCGTGGACATCATAGTCACAGGCAACAGTAGTGGTAGTAGTCTTTATCAACAGTAGTGGTAGTACTACTAGTTGGGTCACATACCTACCTCACTGATACGTTATTACGATGACTGACCAGTTAACTGTCGTCAAAATCAACTGCGTTTTGGTTGTCTCTAGTCATGGCACATGGTTAATGTTATTCCATGCCCGATTTAAAGACGTGGTATAATGCGTCTATAACTCATACCTTTAATCGATTTTAGGATCCTCTAAACCGTATGTTTCCAGTAAAGGTCAATCATTGTGAAACGTAGACTGTTGGTTTGTATCTAAAAGCAAACTTCAACTCAACCCACTTCCGAGGCTGTCAACACATCTATTGTGTTGTTATTTTAGAACAAGAGTTATAAAAACAGCGTCCAACTTCCTGACGAAAACACGTTAACGCATGATGGGTAATGACGCTTTCCCTGATACCCCTATTTTTCTTCCCGTCGCATTATGACTTAATATAATCGATTTGATATCACGGCCAAGACTGTCAACAAGCTATGTCAGGGCCCCATGTTACTCGAATGACCTCGTAAACATTTGCTTCACGTTGAGATGAGAAAATAAAAGTGAGTGAGTGAGTTAACTTAACTTCTACTGTTTGCCCTGAAGACAGACACGTGGTTTTCATAAACTGGTTACATGCATTTATTTATCAAAACGAAAATGGACGTTTCATTCGGTTGAGTAAACACATGACTTTTAAGCCTGGTGAACAACCAGTCCTGTCTCATTGAAGCTGTCCTTTTTCATTAATTTGTTGTGGGGTTTTCGCCTAACGCTGCACTCAGCAACCTTCCAGTGATATTACGTTGGTCAATACATGAGAGGAAACATTCACCTTGCCTGATTAATCAGTCTTTTACGTCGCCCATTGATACCAACATACATTCCTATGGAGACATTATAACTCTGCAAGTGGCGTAAAGTTTCTATTAAGATCAACAAGAATCTTTCATGTCACATGAGTAACCCGACCCTGTTAGTCTCTTCTTTGAGAAGCACATGTAAGCTTGATGTGGAAGGTATCCAGTGGAACTTACTGTGGAATGTTGGATTTCCTGGTAACACAATGGCCGGTTCTACTGCTAAGGCAGCACTCAACAAATCTGTGACACCACTTCTCATCCATCCAGTACAGGAGTTACAAACCCGCAAATAGATCTTACAGCCGTGATCTAATGCAAAAGAGTGAGTGAGTGAGTGAGTTAAGATTTATTGTCACATCGGCAATATTTCAGCCATATCGTGACTAAAAACAAGTAATAATTCTAGAAAACACAAAGGTAAAAGTATTAAAAAACCTGTCAACGAAGGACAGTAAAACCAACTAGAACATTACAGATACGAATATAAAACTAGTATATAACTCTAAAACAGCTTCATCTCAGAAGACAATACAATGTAAAAACGGGCTACGTATTGCCAACAACTGAAGGTAGATCACCATACTAGGGACCATGGGGACTTAGAGTAGATTTGCTTCCTGCATGGACACTAGCTGGATTTACACCATCCCTTCAGCTGCTAGCAAGTGAAACACATTGAGCCATACATTAAAAAGACACATATTCTACGATTAAAAAAGTTGGATAGATTTAAATTTACTTTGAATGATTTGGGACTTACGTACCCTCTCAGGAGGACAATAATTGTACAGTACTTTAAGCCCCCTTGAGGACACAGCCACCAACACTCTGAGTTATTAATTTAAACTTCCAATCATAAAATATATATCTATTTACAAATCATAAAGAAGTGGGACACCCAAGTAGGTATAAATAAATTACATCAAGTTGAACTAACGATCGGTTACATCTACTTGAGCTGTCCGTCCCGATTGAAAGACGATGCCACATGCGCCATACAAGATATACACATGAATATTTGATAGAATATGAAGATCCTCCTTTAGCATGTCCTGCTTTAATGTATTGATTTTTCCATTAAAAGTGATAAGTATTTCAGTATAACAAAACAGTAAAGGATATTTACAATAATGTTAATGTTCATTTAATATATTTATTAAAGAAACTATTTGGATTAATATGTTTTGATCAATAGAGCAATAGCTTTGATAGATTAAACTAGTAACTGAGATCGTTTGTGTGTTTCCTCTGAGGGAATTAAATTATCCTAAAATTATTGTCCTCCAGGGAGGTATGGAAGACCACGTCTTTCAAAGTATATTCAACCCGGTCGTAGAACATATGTTCTTTTCATTTCTAAAATGTGTCTACATTAAGATTTTGTCAAAATCGCTAACATCTGAAGGGATGATGTAAATCCAGCTTGGGTCCATGCAAGTAGCAAAAGTGCTGTAAGTCCCCTGGTCCTCAGTATGGTAATCTGCCTTCAGTTGCTGGTGATCTATAGCCCGTTTTGGTATGGTATTGTTCTCTCAAGTGTATGTTTTATGATAGCATGCTTGTTGTAACTCTGCTCAGAAGTTGTTCATGTCAATCAACGTTACAACATTCAAGGCCTCAGTAAAGCTCTTAAGACGTTTTATGGATGACATTTCCAAATATGATACATCAGTGACAAACATTATGTCCGCTGCAATTCCCAATTCTGACTTTTACCACACGTTCCCGAATTATTTCAGGTGAACAATTGACTTGACTTTGCATATGTTTATGACTGTCACCAGTCATAAACATATGCAAAGTCAAGTCCGGTGGAGCATGATACCATCACCTTTTCGCGAACACTTGGTATCATCACTACTTCACAGTGATCCATAAACACATGCTTTATCATCGTATCTGATGTGAGAATCGCTGGATTGTCTGGACTCTGTAACACTGTATACTGTAACACTGCTGAAACAGATAGAAACATGATAGAGTAAGAAGAGACTCTGCTTTTCCTGTGAAAATTCAGATTTCCTGTGCAAAAGGCTTTGTGCAAAAGGTTTTGTCGCATGTAATTACTTTAATATCTGTGATACTTTAGTTTGTGATACTTTAGTATTTTTTATTGTCAACTGAAGACAGGTTTTTGTGTTAAAAATTCATTTCGTTTTAATGTCTAAATTCTTCTCATCGCTAAAAAATTAACTCACTCACTCATTCACTATATATTATGAAGCCTGTGTTCTGAGTGGTTTGCTAAAAGGATAAAGCTTTGGCTCTGAAACAAATTGCTTTCACTATTGTACAATGAGTCAAGCACGATCTTGAAATTCCCGTCATGCTGAAATAGTTCTGCTAAGTAGTTCACCTATTCACCTACTGTCAATAAAGAACGTTGTTGTCCTTTCATAGAAAATGTTTACGAACATTTGAAACTTAATAATAGTTGTGTTACGTGTTTCATCAGAAAAAAAGAAAATATTGCATCGCTGAAATACAAAAAGTAATATCGCTTGACATTAAATGTCACGTAACATGATAATATTGGTGATAATTTGTTTTCACAAAACTGGTGGAAAGCTGGGTATATCAAATTACCCACCCTATTTTGCACTTCAATCTAACTCTTGCAAACCAGACGACATGTCACATGCGCTGCACTCGTTTAACTTGTCACATACAATATGGGCGCCACAGATGTCTTTACAAAAACTTTACTAAACAAGGCCAAGAAAACACGTTGGATGAGGAGATTGTGCAATCGGCTACCCCGTGGTGAAGCCCTCCACTATCTGTCACTTCCATTTAGTCCGCCACACGCAATTCCAAAAAACAATATTTTCAACCCACACCGAATTTTTATGTCATATTATTTGCAATTATTCATACGTGGCCCCAGATCGGAGACCTAAAATGACCTCTGCAAATCTGGTGTAACCAATAGTTGGTTTCATTTCATGTGGTGTTTTGGTATGAGAATATATGAGAATGACTCCTATATAAGAGCTGTTAACGGGGCAGCTGCTTGAGCATACTAAGACAGATCAGCATACTAAGATAGATCAGCATTCAAAGGACCATGTGGACTTACTGTACTTTTGCAGCCTGACTTGACCCTAGCTGGATTTAAACAATTACTTCATTTGTTAGCCACTTTGCACAAAATAACATTACATTAAAAACACATATTCTACGATTAAAATCACGGATAATGAAAATTACTTTGAATGAAATGGAATTAGTATACCCTACTTCAACCCCCTTTGAAGGTACAGCAACTAACAATCATAGTTATGTATTCATTCTTCCAAAAACATGTGGTACTTACAATTACAAAATATACGCTTTTCAAAACTATCAGTTACTTCAATTTCTATAAAATACAATTATTATATGAGAAGCAATATCAACAAAACGATTCCTCATCGATCATGGTTCGAACTCCTGATCACTACAGTCAGGAAGAATATGCAACACGTGGGATACAAAACCTCACCTTTTAACAAATATTCATGAGTGAATCTGCAATCCCGTATGCATCGTCTTAAAATGACCTCTGCAAGTCTGGACTGACAGCCCAAGTGGGTGTAACCGATAGTTGGTTTCATTTCATGTGGTTTCTTGGTACCTAGGTCGTTTGCATTTGTTCTCTAATGTAACATCAATTAACCGGCTTGTAATCGGTGTATGGTGTCAGAAGTGGTGGACCAATAATTGAGTATAGAACGGATATGTACTCTACATAATTGGAGAAGCATTCACTTGTCCTCTCCCCACTTCGATTTTGAGGATCCGTGAAGAACCGGGTTAGAATTGATCTTCAGTTAGAGGCGACTAACGGGATCAGGTGGTCAGGCTCGCTGATTTGGTTGACACAGTCATGTCATCGAATCCCTGGATTCCCACTGATCACATGATTGTCTGGTTCAGACTCGATTCTTTACAGATCGCCGCCACATAGCTGGAATATTGCTGAGTGCGGCGTAAAACTAAACTCACTCACCAAAATCACTCGGAATAATATTTGTTTTGTCTTATGCTATTAGTCCCGTCATGTTCACGTTGTCCATGAAATAGCTCTCGAAGGAATATTCATTCTCAACAAAATGAAATTCATACTAAAATGTTACACAATGTATAAATGAGTACATATACTAACATCAAACTTTACTCGAAAAGAAACAATGTACATATTCTACTCATGGTAAAGCTGTTGCAGAAAATGATAATAAGGAATGGATACTTGGCATGAATGAGGTTTAGTTTCTGGAATTATGCACCATGGTAACCCAAGTCTCTCACCCACCGCTACCTTCAAGATCTGCTGCAAGTGTGTGGGAAAGGACATGTGGTTTGCTCAAAGCCAATATCCCCCACATCCAAAATGTAAAAAGGTGAAATCTTCTCTTCACTTCCAAGACCCAGATCATTTACGATTTCATACGTTTTATGTCAAAATGAGTGTCATTACAGGGAACGGTGCAACTCGCTCCATACTTGTTACTTGTATGGCTTCGATGAAATAAGTTAACAAAGAGCTAGATATCCTAGTGTACAGTGTAGTACGAGAAATGATAATATCAAGTTCTTCTAAGAGGTCATGCTCGCTCTGACAGTCGCCTTTCTGTTTGCTGGAATAAACATCTGATTTATTAAGGACTAACAATGTCTAACATGTTAATGAAACAATGTCCCTCCAGCGAGTCAAGATTCCCACAACCTGTTAGTGGGTGTGTTGTATAGTAGCTGCCTCATGTAGTCATGGTCGTCTGATACACTGACAATAACAGACAATCTACGAAGAATTACGGAGTACCTCGCTCGGTAAGACTAGAGGCACGTTCCTGAAAGCGATCGTGGCACCAAGATGATCGTAACTCCCATACTTTAACATAGACTTACGACTGTCGTAGCGCTAAGATGATCGTAACTCCCATACTTTAACATAGACGTACGACTGTCGTAGCACAAAGATGATCGTAACTCCCATACTTTAACATAGACGTACGACTGTCGTAGCGCTACGATCGCTTTGGGGAACGGGGCCCAGAGCTATGGATATTGTGGATGTATTAGATCACCAGGGTGAGGTAATATGTATATTCTAATATCATGTTACTTGTCCTGTAAACACCTGCGATGTGGACTCTTCCAATGTAACGAATCAATTTAATAAATTGTCAATGCAATTGAGCACATCATTTTCATCCACCATGGACAATGCAAATAACGTTGTAGTACTGTTGAACATAGCTAGCGAATCATTTCGCTTTTTTGTGTTTCACGTAAAATTCTGAACATGGGTCGGTCGGTCGGGGAAAAAAAATTAATAAAGACAAAATTATCTGAATAGTGTTCTTGATTCTCATTTATTGCAATTCTTATTACAATTTCTCGCTTTCTCTGGACTTCGAACTTGTGGCAGCGACTGAGAGAAAGACAAACAATTGTTTTTTTGATAAACTCACCCTAAATATCTTAGATGACACCTATAAATGAAACATTAAATAATGAGTGAGTGAGTGAGTGAGTTAATATTTAACGTCACATCGGCAATATTGCAGCCATATCGTGACGAGAACATATTTGGCATTGAAATGTAATATGTGTATATTATAAAAACCTGTCTGCAAAGGACAGTAAAACAACTAGAATATCACAATTACAACTAAAACTAGTGTGGGAATTTAAAACTAATAGCACTATTTGGACAATACAATATAAATACTGGCTATAGATCGCCAGCCACTGACGGTAGATCACCATGCTAGGGACCATGGGGACTTACAGTACTTTTGCTACCTGCATGGACCCTAGCTGGATTTATATCATCCCTTCAGCCGCTGGCGATTGAAGTCAAATCTAGCCTAAATTAAAATTACAAAAATACTACATTTTAAACAGCTGGTTAATATAAATTTCCTTTGAATGTTCCGGGACTTATGTACCCATTAAATAATGAAATATTTGTAGATCAGTCCATATCAATAAATAGTTTTGCAATCAAATTCAAGATACATTGTTTTCAATTTATTTCAGTTATCCTGTATAAAGTGTAGAGTTTGACAGTTAGACACCAGTTAGACAGTCAGGGCTCACATACATAGGAAGCTGACACAATCTTAATGGCTTAATTTAGTGCTTGAATGAGTTTATAGAGTTAATAAATTTTACAATGTTATCAAATTAAGATGACACTAGTCCCACTTTAAAAGGGATATGAAGATGATACTTCAAAACAGAGCAGATGTTTGTTTTCGTTTTTGTCTGCTATGTGAGTGTTTTGGCCGGTCTGTTGTCAAGGGACATAACTCGTGTGGTAACATTTTATAGGACGATTCGGTACGTTCGTGGTTTGAGTCGGCGGTGTCGGAATGAAAACATAAGGCTTTTTGGTCGGCAATAAAATTAGGGTCGGTCGGGTGATCGGAAACACAGAAAATAAAAATGCTGCCCTTATGACAAACTTCGTTGCGTCCAACTTACGTTTGTTTCAAAGTCAAAACTTGGTAACTGCATAATCCATATTTCATTATCATTTTGAGTAATAATAATTCCTACCATCTATACCATAGACCTCGTACAAAATTGTTTGACTGTATATGATGTTACGGCTTTCATATAACCTGGTTAAAAAGCACCATTCGAAAAGAAAACAAAGCAACATGAAACGCCCAACAATCAAATTGAAACCATGAAATGCAAAACTATCACTTATCTTCAAGAAATGGCATCCACAAGATATATAACGTGGGTGGTGAGATCAAGCCATCTCTCCTCTATATAGGACGGAGCGGCGGGGGTTAACAGGCATTGTCACTAAGGTGACATAATCCCCCGCCGCAAATTATCAAATCAAACTTACAAAGTAATGAAAGTTTACGATGAAGTTAAATGTCAACAAAAACATGGCCAGTCAACCTCTCTTGATATCTTGCTCTGTAGTGTTCAAACACGCAAATATTTTCAAGAATGACTTTGACCTTAACATGAATGTCATAGTATATGAAATATGCAAAAACGGTACTAAAAATTGCTTATTGAAAAACATTCAAGGGAAGTCTTGAAAGTCTATGAAGAAAATCCAGTGAATTCAGGTTAACATGCTGAAATCTTCAACGTGTCGCAGTGATCTTGAAAATTACGTGAAGGTCACCAAAATTGACTGGGCCTTGCACTTTCCCTAGATGAAGCTTGGTGTCAAATATGAAGAAAGTCCAGTGAATGGTTCTTGAGATATCTCGCTGACAAGCTTAACATGCAGCTTAACATACTGTAATTTTCAAAGTGTCGCAGTGACTTTGAAAAATTAAGTGAAGGTCACCGCAATCGACTAGGCCCTGTGCCCTCCCTAGATAAGGCTTGATGTCAAATATGAAGAAAATCCATTGAATAGTTCTTGAGGTATCTCGCTGACAAGAATGGCATGCAGGTTAATATGCTGAAATCTTCAAAGTGTCGCCATGACCTTGACGGACGGACGGACGGAGCCTAAACGCGCGGCGGGGGATAACAAACAAACATGAGTGTTGCTTGATTGCCTAGACTACAGGCCGCACCTTTCATGATCGGTGTTTGTTGTCTGACGGTTGTTGTCCAGAAACCCGAGAAAGACTCCTAGAGAGATTATTCTTTTTGAAGCACCATGAGAATCTATTGATGATGTAGTACGCGATGGCATGGTGACGCATTTACCACCTGCATGCTGTAAAAATCGCGAACTCCTATCGTAAATATTAGTGGATGTGAATCCTTAATCGTGACAGGGAGTAGAGATGCAAGAGTTGCTTCCTTTTAAATACCTGCTAAAGATTCATTTTTCGTTTTCCATTGAAATTTAATAAACACGTCACAATTTAATTATGGACTCACAAAAGTCCAGAAACTCTCCGCACTGTGGGCACTTTCTGACAAGGGATTTGACCAAATTAAACATGCAGTTGTTATGAATATAAGTCAAGGATGAAAAAATGAAAAACATTTTTTGCGAAAACTTCCGATTTAAACTCGCTCGCCCATGGGCGAGAATATTTAATTTCGCTCAGAATTCATGTTTAGGAGGTTATAAACGAATGAGTGTATGTTTATAAACATCATGACCCAAAAATCTACCCATTTTGACTTAATTCGACTAACTTAAGGCGATATTAAAAAATCTCGCCCATGGGCGAGAATGTTTAATTTCGCTCAGAATTCATGTTTTGGAGGTTGTAAATGAATTAGTGTATGAGACAATGGGTTTTTTAATAGGCGGTGTACAATTGAGAAAGGTCGGCGCAAAGTTTAGAAATAAAAATAGTTTTTTATTGTATGGGTGGGGGGGATTTTTACGGGAGGCGGGAGATGAGAAACACAGAATTAAATTACACACCTTGCACAAGTGTAAGACTCCCAGAAAGATGCACTGATATTTCATTTTCGGGATACCATGACAATCTATTTTATGATTTAGTATACGTTGGCATGGTGACGCATTTACCCCCTGCTTGCTGTGAACTGACGCCATGAATTTTGTAGGTGTGAAACACAATGTGTGCCTCCAGGTATATAAAGGTTGTTGAGACTGAACGGGCCGCATAACGTATTTGCAACCGATACAGTTTGCGTAAATCGTTTGAAAGGTAAGGTTTTGTTCTCGTCTTTTAGCAGATGCAGATCTTTTCAACTTATAGATCTGATCAGTATTCATGCTGTCATTTGGAAAACAATGTACGAAATGGGGGGATATTGAAGTTACTAAATTGTAGTGAAGTAACTTGCATTTATATATTTTGTTTTGTTTGTTTCCAGGGTCTCCATCAGTTGGCATCCAAAGAATGCGCGGCATGATTTCATCGAGCTTTCTTCTTTTACTTGGATCTGTTTTGACATTTGCCGAGGATGCAGGTATGATGCAACATGCTCAACCGTGTGTTTGTGCATGGCCAAATGTTCTTGTATTAATGGAATCACACATGTGACGCTTTCTAGTTAATGTTAGTTTCAGTCTGTATTTGGATTATATCACACATGATGACATATCTCACTAGTACTTTGATGTATTCCTATTGTATGCCTTCCTGGTCATTGTTGGTGCAACTTAATGCAATATAATGCATTTCATTAGCATTCAGGTAAGTGTCAGTCAGATATATTTTGGAATGTTGTCACTTGTATCTTGAATATGTAATTAATTCCCATCAAGTGTTTATGTTCCAAGTAAAAAATGAAATAACGTTTTCTTGCGTGATAATATTGAGTATGTTTTTATACCTGACCCAGAAGCATGAAGTATCTGTTAAGCTAAATGGTTTTGTAATGGAAACTATAATTTTGCCACAAATATATCAAGAAAAATAACCAATTTCAGGTAAAGGCATCAGTAACTATGTTTTGCATAAATTCAGAATGTAATCGGAAACCTTACTGGAACTTAAAATATTTACGGACATTTCCTGAAACAAATCATAGAAGCTGCTAAAAGCGGTGTACTAATCCCATTGTTATTGTATAACAAAAATTCGTTACTGCAATATGTTGTTGGATGGCAGTGCGTGGCAAACATCAAAGTTGACTGTATAAATTTTAGAAACTATCTTCGGTTACATGATCAGACTAAGTGGTCTTTTCTGCTTGAGGAACAGGTCGGTGGTTCGCACCCTGATCCCTGATACCTAAAGACACTAAACTATGGCACTTTTCGTTTCCCTGTCTGGTGCTCGACTTTGAGGTGATAAACAGGGTGTCAGTATGTTGTTTATGTGTGATGCGTCCATGTTTAACTGTGACTTGGTATTTTCGTGGGCAAGAACTATTATGGCATGTCTTGACTCATACAAACATAGTCACACAAGTACATACAGACACGTCGATATTTCTAAGCGAAATCATCTTAAAAGTGATAATATATAAATTGTTCTCGTCACAACATGGCTGAAATATTGCCGATGTGTGGATAAATAATTCACTCACTCATTTACAGTGACCTAAAACCTCATTGTATTTATGACTGTGAAACCTAAACTTGATGCAGTGCATGTTTGGTTGTTCTTTTGTGTTGTCTGACTCCTCCTTTTCACCATCCAGGTGCTGACTCTCTGCCAATGCATGATTCTGGCCTGCTCTCGCCGCCGCCGCCGCATTCTGCTGCGCTGCAACAAGGGGATGCAGTCAACCCTCCGCCTGACGGGCTAGCACGCGGTGCCTACATGTTGTCGGGTGACGAGGGCCTAGATCGCCTGCTCAGCAGTTATGTGTCTAATGCGGACTCTGGCCAGCCTTATACACACATTATTGATGATAATCTTCCACAGATAGTTACGCAATTGGCTCAACAGGTACTGGATCGACTAGAACAGAACAGATTTTATGCCCCGATATTTGTTGGGAAAACATCAGCGCCTTTAATGATAGGAAAGAAATCGTTTCCGTATTTTGTTGGGAAGAAGTCTGTTCCTTTTGCTATCGGCAAAAGAGCCTCTCCTTTCTTTGTTGGACAGGAATCAGCTCCATACTTGGTCTACGAAAAGGCCGCTCCTTATTTTAGTGGCAAAGATACCTCCTACTTTGTGGGAAAGAGAGCTGTGGGACGGAAACGAGGTATGTACCCTGCCCCCTACTTTATTGGCAAAAGACAGCAGGAAACGATGAAAATACGCACTGCCAAAATAGCTTTCTTCAGGGCATTAAAAATGAATTTCCCCATGTTGTGAGAGAGTCCCAATGTATTTTCAAAAGTTCACTGTTCTGTTGATATATTGCTACGCGAGTTTGATCAACACAAAGCAATCTGGGAAAGAAATCTGGTTCCCATGAGTCTGTCGGGAAGCTCGCCATCTACCACACAAAATGATCATTATTGCTCAAATATGGACAAAGGTAGTACGACGTGTAGGAAACCTTTGTCCTATATACCGCCTTACACTATGGTATGTGAAATGAACAACTTCGGAAGTAAATGTTACATCAAATGTGTTGACTCTACCGTTATTTGTTAAATATACCAGAAATATATTGCCTCTGTCGATGGACGGTCTATAATTTTCCCGAGCATTCTCATGTCCCTTCATTGATCATTGATGCTTTGAAAGCATGATCTGAATTCCGACATGATATCCCTGGCGGTCGTTCCCATGTTTTGAACAATGTCACGACTCTTGCATATTGTGTAACATATCAATAAAATACGTGTGTCCAGCAGATGTCGTTGTTTTGCTT